TCAGCTCTGGCTTTTATAACCTTTCCATGAAGTGGCTGGGATGGAAGGAATTGTCCGAGTCCATGTACAGGGAACAGGTCTGGATAGTGGCCCAACAGGCAGATGAGGTACATGCTCAAAAAATAGGTGGCCTGTGGGAGCCGTTGCTGTTCTTTGCATGGACCCAAATTGGGACCACCAGCCTGGCGTTGGGGCTCAGAATCTCTGGGATAACATGATCACACACTTGATTTATGGCCTCCAAAAGGCTACTCACAAGTCAGTCAAATATGACAAGCTTAGAGAAATCACACAGAGATCCACTGAAAATCCCAATGGGTTCCTAACCCACCTCTCAGAGGCTTTACATGAATACACACATATAGACCCAAACTCCCCTGCAGGCATGGCCCTCTTACACTCTCATTTCGTTACCCAATCAGCCCCTGGTATTTAAAAAACTATAAAAGTGATCAGGCCAAATACCAGCTCCTGGCTAATGCCATCCATGGCTCACACACTCCAAAGCCGGCTGCCTCTAGGGGCAAGCCACCCCAGAACTACTTCAAATGCTGTCAACCCTGCCACTCAGCATGGGCCTGTTGTAACCCCAGACCCCCTTCTGGGTCCTGTCCTCACTGTAAACAGCCAAATCACCGGGAGGTTGAATGTTCCACTCATCAGAGGGGGAGTGGCCCAGTCCCCAATCTACAGCCTTTGGCTTCACGGCCATTTCTCCTGGAGCTTCTAGGCTTTGCCCAGGAGGAGGACTGATGATGCCCAGGGCCTGAGGCCCCCATGGAGATCACCACACTGAGCCCAGGGTAACTTGCCTTGAGGCAGGTAAGCTGATCTCTTTTTTCATTGATACAGGGGCCACTTACTCTACCCTTCCTGAATATGCAGGACCAACAACCCCATCCCCTATCACAATAGTAGGGTCACGGGATCAGAATACCGTACATGGATCACTCAACCCCTTTCCTACACCCTACATCACACCCAATTCACACCCAAATTCTCAATAATGCCTCAATGCCCAACCCCCTTACTGGGATGGGACATTCTTTTCAAATTCAAAGCTACTCGTACCCTAAACACTTTAACTCCAGCTACAATACTCCTGTTACAGACCACCCCAAACCTGGCCCCTGAGGTTTCCACCTTCCCCTCCCCCTCAGACAAGGTTAATCCCTGGTATGGGACGTTTCTTTTCCCTCCATTGCTACTCACCATTCCCCTTTCCTTGTTAAATTGCTGAACCCCTCTTTGTTCCCTAAAGTCCCACAGTACCCCATCGCTAACAAACACCTAATAAGCTTAAAACCCATCATACACAAACGCCTTTCTTCTCATCTCTTTTTTTTTGTCTTTTGTCTTTTTTCCGTGTCCGGCAACGGATCACAACCCTCAGTGTTGCCCCCGTACCGGACTGGGGACCGGCAACGGGATCGCAACCCTCGGCGCTGCTCCCGCGCC